TTCCCCTACATTATACTAAGTATAGGGTTGAAACAATCAAACCAGCAATTGGTAAGGACCTGATCCTGCCTCCATGGAACTGCTTGGCCCGGCTCCCCCTGGCTCCTACGGAGCATGGGATCCCATCTGTAAAGCAAGACTTACAGAATGCCCACAACTCACGATAATAACTGCTGGGGGCCCGATCCTGCAAACATTTCTAGAGGACCAGTGGTTTCAGCAGAGTCCTACCAGCTCCCTCCAAATACAATTGCCCTCGCAATGCTGAGAGCTTCAGCATGGAATTCCTACTCTCAAAGGTTCGAAGAACAACTACTTTTGTTCCTCACATTATTCTTCAGACAATAATGCCATTAATTCTTTAAAAAACAGTAATTAGAAACAGTAGCCTTTGCGAATTGAAGCAACCAAATATCTGAGTGATAAACAGCTTTTAAATTAAATGATATAATCAATTTGAAGCATGACCAAGAAAGCTTATATGCTAGTAAATCAGACACCAATGCTATTAATGTTATTAATTAATGTTAATGCCATTTAACACCAGAAAAATGTGCATTTTCATATTTATTTGCTAACGGAAAATAATTCCCACCGACATGGTGAATAAAATATGGTAACATTTCCTGACCACACTAGAACCACATTCTCTGAAAGCCAAAACCTAAGCATCGGCCCTCAGTACAAACATAACATAAGGCAAATGTATAAAGAGCTTCAATAGAAATTTTAGGTGTTTTTGCCTACTTGGCACAATTTGTTTTTTTAAAATGTACTGGGGATGAAGGAAGCTGAAGGAGAGTTAAACACGACCTTCTGCTAATTTATATAGTGTTAATGTTTTCTTCCAATAGCCAAGCTCCCTCTGGCTTGCAATCATATGTTTCTTGCCTTAAAGTCACCATACCTGTATCTTTTGTTATCCACTGGCACAATATCCATAGCAATATAATACTGCTGATGTGGGTCTAAACCTGAGATCTTCACTCTCATTGCGGGAAACATCCGCCTGAACATGGAAAGAGAGAGGTCATTTTTAATATGAAACAGACTCGGGAATAGTTGTTTAGGAAAAGTAACCGGTTCGTGGGATTTTTCTCGTTCTTCCTTTTAGTCTACAGAGTCCTTTTGGACGATTATAGTTACATAGCCATGAAATGGCCCATTCGATATGTCAAAACAGATTTTTAAAGTGCATTTACTCGAACAATGCTTCGTATGTTTTGGGATACGCTTTGGGAGTACAGCTATTACCACATCATTTCGACTTTATTGTTAGACACTAAATCATTTGGGTTTTGAGACTTGACTTTAGCAGTACACGCATTTAAAAGCCGTTTGAGATATTAACTAGAAATACATTTCTGGAGATGTGCAAACCTCCACCCAGGAAGAGCAATACTTAAGAGAAATGCAAATTGCCACTAAGTTTCCAGCTGACAGCAGCGAATGGTTTATCGTTTCTGTAGCAGCAAATGAGAAAGCTAAATCCGCGGTGATACAATTATAACACCGCAAGGATGCAGTTATAAAAAGCCAACGTGCCATGCTGTAACCCAACAATATGGTCTTTATTGAGACGGGACTTCCTGTCTGCAACTTACTAAAGGTGAAGTGCAAGAGCTACTCTGCCTTTGAAAGGTATAGTAAAACTTCTTTATTGAAAGCAGAAACGAAATCTACGAGGTAATTTCTTAAAAAGGAGTACAAAAAAAAGTTCACGATTTGCATCCTTCTGCGGAGAAAACGGAGCATTAACTGATGCGGTGGTTTTAACGTAAAAATGCATTTCTTAGCTCACGTTTGGCATGCCTTTTATCAAGAAAGTTCCTTCTTGAAGAAAAAAAAAAGTCCGAGTGACGAGCTGACTGCAAGCTAATGAAAGGTACTTTTCTGTATTTTAAAGACACGAAAGCCATTCCAGCTTATTCACTATTTGCTGCTGTTCTTAAAAAAATATATATATATATAAAATCAATTAGAAGTCGTTACTGGAAAGAAAAACCATATCTCCGTTATTTCTGAATAAGCAAGGGGGTAAATCTGACCGCGGTTAACTAGTTTTCGCTGTGATTTCAGTGCACCTGTAAGATAAAACAGCAAATCCCCGACTGGACTCTCTTAAGACAAATGTTGCTTTGTGCTGTTTAAGACCGCATTTCAATCATTAATAAAGCCTCTCTGAAAACGTAGAAGGCAGCATATGGATTCAATAAAATATGTTTTTGTAATTTCTAATAAGTTCGGATACTTTTATAC